TAATAATAATAATAATAATAATAATAATAATAATAATAATAATAATAATAGTAAAGTTGGAAGGGACCTTGAAGGTCATCTAGTCCAACCCCCTGCTCAGGCAGGAAACCCTATACCATTTCGGACAAATGGCTGTCCAGTCTCTTCTTAAAAACTTCCAGTGTTGGAGCATTCACCGCTTCTGGAGGCAGGTTGTTTCCTGGGCTAAGTTCATGTTTTCCTAATAGTTGCTGCAGGAGATGAAGCAGGAGAACTAATTATCAATTTCTGTACCCTAATGATTTCTTAACTAATACTTCTTCACACAACCAAACAATCCCTGTATATGGACATCATCAAATGGAGTATATATGATTAAATGACAATACTATTGTTAAAAGGAGGTATAGAAGCTCAGTTATAGAATTAAAAATATGGTCAGGTACTGACTGTAAGCCACAAACTACTCATGTGCAAGTGCTAAGCTAAGGAAGAAGGAAACCAGTAAGGCTAAAACATATGAAGAAGGATTGCAGGAATTGGGTATGTTTAATCTAGTGAAAAGAAGGACTGGGTGACATGATTGCAATGTTCCAATATTGGAGGGGCTGCCACAAAGAAGAGAGGGTCCACCTATGGATGGATGGATGGAAACTAATCAAGGAGAGAACCAACCTAGAACCAAGGAGAAACTTTTTGACAGCGAGAACAATTATCAAGTGGAATGGCTTGCCTTCAGAAGTTGTGGGAGCAACATCCATGGAGGTTTTTAAGAAGCATTTGTCTGAAATGGTATAGGGTCTCCTGCTTGGATGGAGGGTTGAACTGGAGGAACTCCAATATCCCTTCCAACTCTATTATTCTATTCTGTTATTTTGTTATTCTTTCTATGATCACGTTTTAATGCTGTAAAAAAGAAGAGTCGAATGAGTAGATGGACTCAGTTACAATGGCAATGTGTGCATTTTTGAAAGATCTGTAAGACCAGGTTAGGAACAAATTGGGATGGAGGAAACTATGGGCTCGCTAGAAGCTGACCCTGACTTAATGGCATTTAATCAATCAGTTTTCTTCAAGGCCATCTCTGTACTTCTCTATAAAGTTCCAAATAAACATGGTTTGAAATAAATGCCAAACAAATAAATAGAATTCAGCTGTAATCTGATCAAAAGTTACCTAATGTAGCATCTTCTTTCCACAAAGGCCCACCAGAATTTGATGGGAAGTTTGAGGGCTGAAGCATTCTCTTAATTGCATTCCCTAGAAATTTGTAACAAGAGACTTGTTGTTTCCGTTTTGTAGCTATAGACATAGTTAATACTTGTCATTGCTTACCTTTCTTTCCATGAATTTGTTTCTGATCCTTAAAAATCATTCACGATGATAGTCATCACTGCATCCTGTGGCACGTTTAATAGCAGTTTAACTTTGTATGAAGAACTACTGTTTATTTCATTTGCTCTGAATTTGAGGGTTCTCAAATTAGCAGTAAACATTTGTTAAATTAGAAAACAAAATTTGGGATTGTATCAGATTTTATGTATATGAATTTACATATCAATTCTCCCAGGTTGATGCAATTTATTTTTCCACTTAAAGGTGTAATATCTGTGTATCTCAAGAAGGACAGTATCGGAAATCTGAATCTTGTAGCCTCTCCACGCACAGATAATCACAATTCCTTGGATAACACCTCAAAGGAGTGTTCAATGACAATATGGCAGAAACTCAATCAAACAAAAACCAGCAAGAATGATCACACATTTGTCAAATGGAATCACAGCCAATTCACAAATGTCATTGAAAGCAGGTAAGCAGTACAAAAAGCCAGCAATGTAGTACAAAAGAAGAAAGCTTAATTTTCTGGTTACCATCCAGTAAATTACTAACATAAATCCCACATTTATGTATGGGCTTTGCCCCACTGATGAGTTCTGGAATTATCCAGTTATTTTGACTTGCCAACAAACCGTACTAGCATGAATATTTTTAAATGATCTGTTAGATTTATATTGTACCTATTCCTCCATTGCCAATCACAATCCTGCCTCTACTTCCAACCCAGATACTGTACTTGATTTCCATCTAAGATGGCAAAGTCAAACAATTTTTACACACCTTGAGGCTGCCCTTGGACAGAATAAGCCGCTTAACTTCACCAATATAGTAATTGAGGCAGATGGTCTATTTAATCTTCTTTTATTGGCAGGAGGGAGGGAAGAGGCATGTTAAGCTCACAAACATTTTTCTTTTAGATAAAAGTGGACAAAGTCTGAATTATTTGCACAATTTGGGGGATTTATTCTCAGTTAAAATGTTGGTTCATTGTGCTGTTCTTAAACTATAAAATAAAGTTTCCCTATATTCATTAATCAGAAAACTGCTTGCTGATCACGACTAACTGATAACTGTGTGCATTACCTATATGTAAACAGTGCTACAATTATTAACACTGGGTAGGTTACAATCCTTAGCATTCTGTCTCACAATGAAGATTGCAGTTTAGTGCCCACATTCTTAAGGGTAAGTCAGACTGAACTCAGTGAGGCTTTCTTCTAAACAATGTACCAAATGGCTCTGAATTGTGGACTTGCAGAATTTTACTTCTGACTACATGAGTTTAAGACTATGTCTAAAGTCCTGCTGAAATTACAAGGATTTAGAAATACATATATATGCTGAGATTTATAGTAGTAATCTTTTTCTTCCAGACAATAAGCTAATCAGATTCCTTTGTGTCTAGCTGCCATGGGAACACACGATTGCAGTCTGATCTTCAGTACCACCAAGATGTATCATCACTTATGGAAGATGCCAATGGGAACCAACAGGCAAATAACAGCTTTAATCCTTGGGGATTGCATTGCCACAAACAGCACCTAAATCGCATGTCTTCCAAAAATAATGAGAATAAACCTCATCGTATCTTTTTTCCTGAATTAGCCGAACAGTACAGTACACATGTACAATTGACAACTTGTACTTTTTAAAGGCTACTAGTATTATAATAAGTATAAACATAAAAGGGACAGTATATCAAAAGTTTAAGTGCACTATGTTAATGACAAAACCTAAATTACACACTGGGTTTCTTGGTAAATATGGATTTCAGTGGGACCAAGATTGCAACAATCTAAACCTTAAACTTGATAAGAATAGCAATAGCACTTAGACTTATATACTGCTTCATAGTGCTTTACAGCCCTCTCTAACTGGTTTACAGAGTCAGCATATTGCCCCTGACAATCTGGATCCTCCTCATTTTACCGATCTCAGAAGGATGAAAGGCTGAGTCAACCTTAAGCTGGTGAGGAGTGAACCCCTGGCAGTCAGCCGAATTAGCCTGCAATACAGCATTCTAACCACTGCGCCACCACGGTTGATGAAATTTACTCTCAAATATTTTGATCTGGATTAGTCTATAATAGGAAAAAATGCAGATTTTAATTTATTTAGCATTTAACAATTATCAGAAAGACAGCTATGTATCTCCAGTATAGTAATAATTAAAAGTGTTAATCTTCTTTATACATCCTATTTCTGGATATTCCTATAACAAAAGTGTTGCTATAATCTATTTGGTAAACATTTGCAGGAAACCAAATTTGCATCTCATATATTTTTGAGTTTCACTGTTTATATTTGATGTGTAACAACTCAGAGTTTTGGATTTTTATAATCCAGATTCCACAATATTTAAAACATTTTCACTAGAATGTTATAAAAAGTCACAACAAAATTTTGAATTTGTGCTGAAAGTCTTTTCAGGTATATTTTTTTTAAAAAAAGACTACACACTTAGAAATTGTATTCAATGAACCATGATATCCATATCCTAGTAGTATCTGAAAGGCCAACCTTGTAATTAAAACTACCCTTCAACGTATGTACATTGATTGTTGACCTCTCTAGGAAGAAATATTCTATTGACCTTTGCCAGGGATAGAAAATGATGGACAGATAGCTCTGAGACATATTTCTCATGATAAATGAGCTGAAATGGAAACAAGAAGCTAAGCATGGAAACTAATGGAAAACTGCAAAGTAAACCTAAGTAA